ATATATAGTAAAGAATATTTTATAATTGTATAAAATCCAGTCCGTTTAAATCCTCTTATTTATATTGAATTTTTAACATATTTGAATGTTGATATAACATTATGTGATTATATGTTATTTGTGAATAAATTGTATTAAATTAATATTCAACATTTGTATGGTGTGTCAAAATAATACAATTTATATAAGTTTAAATATATAAATATAATATAAAAAAATATTTTAAAACTTATAAATTATAAGATAAAATAAATAAATATAAATAAAATAATTTGATACATTAATGTTAATTTAATTTTTTTGTAAATGTGCTTCCAAATTGTTTGCTTACAAATTGTGTATTACGTATTTATTTTTATATTAACTCTTTTACATAATATTTGTGTTACTTTCTAACTTATATATTCATGTTAAAATATCACAACAATTTAAGTAGACCGTTTAATTGGAACACGCGAATTGTGTTAAATTTAATACAAATTTTTTAAATATGTTTAGTCAATTCTTTTTTTAAAATCGTAATGTTCTAAGATACTATAATATGGCTTTGCGATTGGCTGTGACATCTTGACTGTATTTAAGACGATCTTAAAATATAAGGAACGTCTATGAATATTGGCTTACGCTATGTTTAAATTATCTTTCACAATGTAATTGTAAAAAGTCTGCTCTCATCCTCCAAACAATTGATGAATGTTTTTCCGGAATATTTCCAGAAGTCGAGAAGATATTGATACTCCTCGAGAAAATATTTGCACCTGGCGTTGCCGGCCAGTGTGAAATGTTTACAATAATCTTTCTATGTTTTGTTGTTTGGATGCTAGTCAGGTAAGAATTTCTTAATTCATCGATTGCGGAATAATATTTATAAAAATTCGATAAAGTGCGTATGATGTAAAGCATTTTCAAGTCACGTTTTAATAGGTTAGGAAATCTGCCAATACCGACTGTGACAATTCATTGATAATTGCATCAACCAATCATAGTCGAGTATTTTGCTAAGTTAGGTTATGAATGTTTTCTTCTCGAGATTTCAAGATAAACGTTGGAATGCGCTATATTTATTTCATAAGATCGAGTGATTTAAGTTACGACTTCAAAATACGTTAGTAAACAAAGTAATAAAGTATTTTTATTATTGACAATATTATTAATAATATTATAAAATAATTTTCTGTGCAATTTTAATGGACAATGTAATACTATTACTTGTTATATTATTTACAAGTGTTATGAAGATTCGAGATATTATAATTTTTTAACATTTCAGAATTGTATTGTTATTAATTATACATGTCGCTTTATTTTTAATCGCGAAATTTTAAATGTACAATCAAATAGTATATATACAAAAATATTAGATGGTTTTTAAATTATAGGTTAGGTCTAAAGTAGGTGGCTATAATTTATTGTAATTAATGGAGCTTATCGGAGAAAGAAGAAAGTAACAAGAAAGAATTAATTGAATAAAATAAAATAAGGTCTGTGTTTGGCTCACAGCCCTTATTTTATTTTATTGATTATGAAATCTGAAGCTATTATTGTATTTGAATTTTAATTATTAAAGCAATAATTTCTTTCTTTTTCAAGAATGGATAATGCATTAACCAGCACAGACAAGAAAAAGAGGAACAAAGCGACAAGACAGCTGGTTCCAAGCACTGAACGTAAGGTATCTGGATGCAATTGGGAAACATACAAAAATTTGTTTTCTAAGACGAAGACAGAAGAAAGCACTGGAGATAAAACTGTTTCACAGAATCACAGACGTCCAAAGTTTAAAAAAATATACACTACACCAGTTCGTATGGTAAATATATTTATAGTACTATTTTGAATATAAATTTTATTGATTAGTGAATTATACTTCTTGATATATATTTGTGCCAAGTGTAGGATTTACAGGAGCAAACCAGCAAGCAAAATGTCGTGAAAAATAAAGAGAACAAGACTTTGACGAAGCAGCTCGCCATGGACTGCGAAATGGTTGGAATCGGTGATGGTACCGAGAGTATAATAGCTCGAGTGTCAATTGTAAATAAATATGGCGATTGCATATATGACAAGTACGTTAAACCAAGAGAAAAGGTTGTGGATTATCGAACGGCGATCAGTGGCGTTCGACCAGAGCATTTGCAAGATGGAGAAAGCTTTAATATTGTGCAGAAGGAAGTAGCAGATATATTAAAGGGTCGTATTTTAGTAGGCCATGCATTAAAGCACGATCTCAATGTACTGTATCTGTCACATCCTAGAAGGTATTGGCGTGATACTTCGAGATACAAACCTTTCCGTCAAGTATCGAAAGGAAACACTCCCAGTCTAAAAAAGCTCGCGTACGAATTATTAGGTAGAGAGATACAAGTAGGCGAACACAGTTCTGTGGAAGACGCGAGGGCAGCGATGCAATTGTACATGTTGTATAAAAATAAATGGGAGTCGGAAAGAAAACATTGACACGCAGATCTTTATAAACAATATGGTATATTCAGAAAAAAGGCATAGCAGTTATAAAGGTGACAACTATACACAAGTTTTACATGAATTAATGTACATACACAATAATCTTTTTTATGATTATTATCACTAAAATAGTTTATTTGATTATATTCATTAACTTTATATATAAAATTATATATTAATTTATATATTAATTCTATACATAAAACTATATTAATTTTACACTGTTAGAAATTTCGTAATGAATTTAAGAACAGAAGCTCGTGATCATGAGATAATTGAAAAGTACTGAATGATTTAACTGAAAATTAAGTTATATTCATCTTAAATGTAATGTGTATTAAATTTCATGCAAATCCACATAGAATTTTTGTAAAAAATACATTAAATTTCATGAAATTTTATGAAAAGTAAAAATTTTATGTACATAAATATATTTTCAGTTACAAATACATTAATGTAATGTCATAAAATTAATTTAATTTGTGTAACTTGTGTAAAAGTACATTAAATTTTATGATATTTTTAACAGCGTATATATTCCACTGTATACATTAATTCTACAGATGAAACATTATGTAATTGTTATCTTTATAGTTGCTAAGGAAATTTTTCACAAGTCTTTCACAAGTCATCATGTTCATCTAACAAAAAGAAACAACATTAAATATACTCGCAAAATTCCAAGAACAATATAGCGTAATCTCTGTCATTTGTACTTTATGAACGATTGTACAATCATAAGTTTATGATCATATTTAACTATAGGAGGATGTATTTAATAAGCTGTAATAATATAAATATTTTAAATAATAAAAGATATATATTTTACTGTAAGGTAAGCATCTTTTTTATATTACATATTTAATATATTTTAATTAGTTATTATATATTTTTTCCTCTTTTCGATATTTCTTCTATATAAAGATCTTTGAGGAATAAATGATTTTTTAATATTGAAACATCGAGCATTGTGTGCTGCATTTAGGGATAGTGAAATATGTATGTGAACAAGATTGAAGGTCTTCGCATTTATTTGGTAAACACATTGGATATGACCTTATCGGTATCAGCCTTATATTTCCCTCTCTTTAATGATTTATTCCATTTGGTCATTTTGATTTTCACTTCGCCTGTGACATATGTATCTTGTATTCTACTGGATCTCGCTTTTGGTACAAGCACTTTGTGTTTTTCTATTGGTGAGTTACTAACTGTACTAGATTATACTTTATCAACAATTTTATCTTAATTTCATAATGATAAACACATCACAACGTCTATATTGTCTTATCAAATTTTGTCATGCGCGTTCTATTTGCACATATATGATATTACGTTTAACATAAGCTTAGTTGTCTTTAGAATTTAATTCATATCTTCAAGATTCAATCGACGCGACGTTAAAAGTGAAAAGTGTTCTGACTTTGGTAAATTAAATTGAGAAAGTAATATATGAATATTTTAACTCTAATATGTGATAAAAGTGCATAGAAGAAAGGTGTTTGACTTTTGATTGAATCTGTTGTACCTTTCACAAATCTAACCAGTTCGCTTGAAACCGTATATAATCGCCGTCGCGATCGATTTGTAATTTGAACAGGAAAAATTATATAAGCGGATGCACGCTCTCATTCACAGATCTTTTATTAATCTTTCATTAATTATTGAGAAAATCGCAAAACGGCAGAAAACTTTTCTGTTCAGTTTAATTTTATCTGCCTATGAGAGATGATATAATTATTTTCAGACATTTTGTATAAGTTTAATCGCAATTTATAAAAAATATCTCGTCAAATACTGCGATATCAATGAATGCTTTATGACTGCGATTAATATTGCAATAAAAACAAATATAAGATAACTGATTAATATTCCAATTAATATTCCAATTGAAATAAATATGTAGAAGATAGTGGCTCCTCGTGAATTCAAACAAATCGATAACTCTTATCATTCTTGGTCAGAATACATTTAGTTACTGTTAGCTTATATTACTCGTTACAATTTTTAAGAATTAACTCATTGCCATATTTAGGAAGTGACAATTCTTTATTTTTTTTGTTACTTTTTATAATGCCGAAGTAAAATATATTAGATTTACAAATTGTATTATTTAATAATAAATCAATGTTTTATCGATTTGACTTTGGGTGACATCGCTAAGGTCAAGTCAAGGTTGACGATCCTCCCAAGGATGATGATCCTCCCAAGATCAAACCAATAAAGTAAATACATTTTATTAAACCATTTTTGTCTAAGACATTTTTCTCAAAAATGTATTTTTCGAGGTATTAGACTGTTTTTAGATTTTTTTGATATATTTTTAAATGCTCATTACTCGGCTTCTAAGTTTCATTAGCGAGACCGGCTTTACAGGTGTTCATTTGATAGGCTCCTCATTGCTGCAAGTTTGATCAAAATCGGTGAAGAGCAGAGCGTAGCCTCTCCTTATAAGTTAATCTATATATAGCAAACTCTTCTTTATATTAAACTTATCTTAATAAATCTTGTATAATTCTTAATATTATTAATACTTTTATTCATTAATATACTCATCTTTAGAAATTTACATTTTAATTCGCAAACGTAAATTTTTTTATCAAATAAACATATTTTTATCTAATAAAAAATAATGTAATGTATTGAATAGATATATACATAAAGATAAAAAGAAACTAAATTTTATTATTATAAAAATAATGCTGAATTTGTTATCGTTATTGCAAAGATGTAACGATGTTATGTTGTAATCTAATTATAGATAGAAAAAAGTAACGATAATAATTTTTATATGTTAAATTATTTTTCTTTTTATAAAAATATAAACAGCAATGAATATTAATTGTGTCTCTTCAGAAACCAAGCTTATAAATTCTACTTTTTGTAAATCTCTCAATTTTAATTGACATATGATTATATATAATTTTCTCCGCGTTTTATTTTAAATGATTAATTTACCTTGGCTTCTGAAAGACTCCAATTATTCCTTTAATTCTTATCAGAGAAAATTTGCCTCTGTTTCGATCAAGAATATAGAAGCAAAGTGCGGTAGGTTTAAAATATCCGTGTATTACAAAATGAATATTATGCCATAATTGTACTTCATTAACTACGAAATAGCTTGCCGATATAGCTGAAAGTGCCAACGAGGATTCCTCGTGTTCTACGAAGCTTAAACGATCAACGACTGCGTAATCATGAAAATCGCCGTGATCGGCGCCGGAGCTGCAGGACTCGCTGCACTCCGACACTGCGTTTCCGGTACTTACGGCGATCAGGTGGTGTGCTACGAAAAAACAGACCAAATCGGCGGGACTTGGGTCTATCGAGAGCAAACTGGTTTCGATAGATACGGTTTACCGATTCACACTAGCATGTACAAGAGCCTCAGGTATGACGTCTATTCCTTGCAGCCAACTTTCATTTTCCCCTCATAAAAATTTAATTTGAAGATATAATGATCAATTACTCATATTTTGAGTATTAAATTCGCCAGTATTAAATTTAGATTTCTGTAAGGGTTTCTCAACAATTCTCAATCCTGCATAGAGAGTAAGTAATATAAATTTAAATTGCGATTAATATATTTTAATCTTGAATTTGATGTCAGTTTTTTTGCATTGTTTCGTAGAAATGAACCCTCGATGAATTTCATCCTAGCATACATACGTATTACAAACATTTAAATCCATTGCAAATGATTCGATACCATTAATAAGAATTAAATGATATCTAGAATTAATTTACATTTTTTAGAGCTAATCTACCGAAGGAGGTAATGGGCTATCCAGATTTTCTGATACCGGAAGGACCCGTGAGCTATCCAACGCGCACGCAGATATTGGATTTCTTGAATATATATTGTGATCATTTTAAGCTACGCCCTTACATTCGGGTGGGTGCATAGATAGAGGAATATAGCAACGCTAAGTGCTTATACCAAATATCATTTCGTCTACATTTCGTCTGAATTATCATTAAACATGAATTTGAATGCACTATTAAGTACTATTATTATTAGTAACATTATTATAATATATTAATATAATATTATTTTATTAATTTATAGAGTAATATTGATATAGCGTAATTGTATAACTAATAATATACATAATATATGTTATGTTATATTAACTGATATTATAGATCATATAAATTGGTAGTTTATATAATATATTATGAATAAATATATACAATAATAATGACTAGATAGTAATAGCATGACTTGTTATGGCGTATACATTCCAGTTGCTGCATCATGTAGAGCTGGTGGAGCCGGTTGCGGGGAACCGGAAGTGGTCGGTCAAGGTCAAGGACTTTCAGAATGACGCGGTCGCGATCGAGTCGTTCGATGCAGTTATGGTGTGCAATGGCCATTACTTTGAACCCATGATCCCGAACATACCTGGCCAGAACATCTTTACGGGCAAGCAGATACACAGCCACGATTACAGGGTTCCCGACTTTTTCAACGGCAAGAAAGTTGTTGTCATGGGAGCTGGTCCTTCCGGTACATACGACGTACACGCGAAATTATTTATTTCTTGAACGAGATGCTTTCTTTTCTCAATGCCAGCGATTTGGGCAATATCGGTCATTAACATTTTCCTTCCATGATTTTAGTCTTTTTTTTATAGTTTTATTAAAATTTTGTTAACACTATAAACAAACGTTTTTTAGATACTTAATTTTAGAAGTAAGAACGACGAACAAAAAAATCTTAGAAGTTATTCTTGCGATGATTAAAACGTAATATTTTTCTGTCTCGGATAGGAATGGATTTGGCGTTGGAGATATCCAAGAATGCGAATCGCGTGATATTGAGTCATCACCTGACCGAGACCATCGACACCGTGTTTCCCGAGAATGTCGTGCAGGTAAAAGCGCGAATCCAAAGTAAAATCACAGAGAGATACTTTTTTCGCGCAAAGTCAAATATACTTATAAGGCACAATCGCAGAGGTACTTTTTAAGCGACCGTGACGGTTTCTTCTGTAGAAAGGTGACGTAGTGGAATTGACGGAACGCGAGGTGGTTTTTGCGGACGGGACGAAGGAGCAGGTTGATGTCGTCTTCTATTGTACAGGTAGAGTTTCTCCTATCTTTATGGTAATTATTACGATATATTGTCTCATTCTCTCTCTCTAACAATTAAAATAACACTCATTCTCTTTCCTCGAAAGGCTACAAGTACAGCTTCCCCTTTCTCGCCGAGTCCTGTGGAGTGCGAGTGGATTCCAACATGGTCACGCACCTTTGGAAGCATCTGGTGTGCATAGAGAACCCTACTTTGGCATTGATTGGCCTTCCATTCTACGTTTGCGCCTTTAGTATGTTCGATTTGCAGGTATAAAACTTTTTGCTAATCATCTTCCTAAAATCCAAAATATTATTGCGTTTCACCTATGTGTTTCCTCTTTGATTAATTCACCTTGAACTAATAGTGTTCTATATTTTACTCTATATATATATATATATATATATATATATATATATATACCGCGTCTCATCGCATTCAAATTGATACGCTCCATAGAACTAATTCTTTTAACCGATTAACTCTTGTATTGTTGATCTTTCCTCTTTTCTTCTCTAATATGAAAAGAAAAGAAGGAAAGAGACGAATCCCCTTTATGCGAGAAGTTCAGCTAAAAAGAACAAGTCTCATATTTTAAAATATGTCAGACGTACAAAGGCCGCGTGCAATCCACTTTAGACACGCGACATTCCAAGCCCCCGTGGGGCATCCGGAGCGGATGAGATTGTCTCTGAGCGTGGCTGAAAGGAAGGTGGTCGCGCGCGACGGGGAAAAGAATGCTAGAAAGTCTACTGTCGCGCATCCGGCGTGACTATGTGCCAGCAACGGTGATAATGGCAATGTGATTATTTGCAATTTCAAGGTGCGATTCGTCCTACGACACTGGCACGGCGAGAGGCAGTTTCCCGCCCAAGCGGATATGCTGCGCTCCGAAGCGGAGGAAGCAGCGAGACGCGCCGAGAGAGGACTGCAGAAGAGACACTTTCACATGATGGGTCCTGAGCAAGAACACTATTACAGTGACCTGGCGAATGTCGCGGGCATCACGCCGCTGCCACCCGTGCTCTCGAAACTCCACAACGAGAGCAGTATGCGCTTCCTGAAAGACCTCGTGCACTTTCGGGAGGATCGTTACAAGATCATCGACGATTACAATTTCGTTCAACTTTCACGTTGAGGCGGTAGATACAATTATTTAAAAGATTAAATTCCAACTGTGTATTTCATTCAATTTTTAGGAATAGTTCTGTATCGAAAATTGTAAGAAAAATATTCACACTTATTCTCGTTTCTTAATTAATTCTTATTCTTCGTCGTGTGTGTGAAATAAATGTGAACTTTCCTGTCATTCAAGCGTGTGAATAATTATCTTTTTATATCGACTAAAGTTATTTTTCGCGTAGATATAATTGTCTGAAAGTCTAACTGTTCGTTATAACTAGCTGAGAATCTTCTAATTTTCTAAAATTACTAACGAAAAGATATGTATAGCGGTATTTATAATCGAGTCTTATATTTAAGATTGTCTTAAATATAATTTTAAGATGTCACGAACCAATCAGACGGCTGCATGTATTAGCATCTTAACTACTTACGGATTTAAAGTCTACAACGGTTGAAGCTGGATATCTTTAATGTTTAAGTAATTCAATGTGAATAAATATATTATATATGTACATGCATATATATCATATTTATAATCATTCGAACTTCGCGCCGAATTGGTTTTCTAAACTTATAAACACAATCAAACTACTGTAATAATATCACAAATTAAATTAAATTAACAAGCAATTTTTGTTAATTTGATGCTCAATTAGACATCATATTAGAAAGATGTTAATGTGCTGAAAAATTGTAAATAAATTTATTGCAAAAAAAATTTAAACTTTTTGAAGGTGGATTAAAAAAATAAATATAGGAGCATATAGTCATAAGATTTTCACAATTAAAGTCCAATTCTTTGCGTAAATTAAATAAAGATAGGACGATAAAAGAATTCTTTTGATAGAAACTAAGATATCTCGAATTCTTTTATCATCATATCTTTATTTAACTTACTCAAAGAATTAGATTTTATACAAAAATTGTGAGGATCTTTGTTTCAAAAATACAGGAAAATCCTATGTTGGCCAGACAACGGTCTATTAATTTTATATTTCAACAATTATATACCAAGACGAAATTATTATATAATAATCAAATATGAATTTGAACAAAATTGTAACATCGAAGCAATTTGACATACGTAGAAGACTTCCATTATTAATTTAATTGTAACACCAACGTTCTGTTACTGATGATAGTCAAATCTTAACCGAAACGTATACAAATATTATATGTTAACGTATTAATTCGAAATTATTATCTCGCATTATTAATAAAAAGAATCGATTATGAATACCAGCCCGAGCGGGAGCTTCTTTCGAATTTCCCGCAATCGCGTCGGTCACGTGACTCGTCACTCGGGGCGCGCGCGTGACGCAAGCGCAGATGTGGCTGCGGCGGCGGCGGCGGCGACGACGACGACGACGACGACGGCGACGTATAATACGACGGTCGGTTAAATGTCTCGTACGCACGTACGGTACGTACGGTACGAGACGCAACGAGCGGCGGTTCGGTGCGCTGGGTGATGTAGAGTAGTCTCGGGTTGTCGATGCTGCGCGAGTGTATACGTAAAGTTCTCCCTCCCTCTCTCTCTCTCTCTCTCTCTCTGTCCGTTTCACGGAGCGAGTACGCTATCGTCCTGACGTTGCGATGATCGTTTCCGCGGTCCAAGACGAGTGATTCAGTGCTCCGATACGGCCACTCCGACACGGATATCACTTGGCCACACCACCGCCTTGAACCATGACGGTTACGCGTGCTACCGAACGCGTCATCGTGCAGGAAACGCAGCGTGAGTAATCCCCTGTGTTGTCGTCTCGCTGCCACCGCCTTTATCAGGAGAGAAAAGCGGAGTTAACGAAAGAAAAAAAGTTTGCCAAGCAACACGCATAGATACACACACACACACACATACACACGTATGTGTGTGTGTGTGTGTGTGTGTGTGTGTATGAATGCACACATGTGTATATCTTTTCCTCTCTCTTTTTCTTTTGCTAATTTGTCTCACTCTTTATCTCCCCCCCCCTCTCTCTGTCTATCTCTCTATCTTCTTTTCTGCAATAAATATAAGAGCTATCTCTCGATATTCCCGCGTCGTTCCAATGGACGCATCACTTTGTGGCTTGGTAACGTTAACATGCGCGATCGAGCAGATCGGAGCAGATCTCGAATGCAGGTCGGGAAGGGAGAGTCGCGATGTCGTGATGTCGCGTGCCATTGTTGCACCGCACGGGTGCATGTGCCTAGCCACGTCGATGCGGGAGTACTATGAGAGAAAGAGAGATAAAAGGAGAGCGAGAGAGAAAACGACGAGGGAGTCGCCGCAACCCCCCCGGCGTAGCAATATTTACGTTACGTGGCAGGGGAGCGTGGACTCGTGTGAAAAATATGTTCTACTCTTTCCTCTCTCTCTCTCTCTCTCTCTCTCTCTCTCTCTCTCCCTCCCTCTTTTTCTTTTTTTCTCTTTCTCTCTCTACCCTGCCTGTCCCACCTGCATCCACTTCACCTCGTATGCAAAAGCACTGCGGGGAGAAACGAACGGCTAGAATATGCACACCCGCGTGTACTACTTCAAAGAGAACAAGAAAGTCAAAATAGTATCGTATTGACTGAATAGTGACAAAAAAATGACATAAATTCGATCAATACGACGTCGAATTGATATTATTTTGTCTTTCTTGTTCTCCTTAGGACAGTCAAATCCGTCCGTACGGTTCGCTGTCCTCTTTTTCTCTGCTTTGTGTTTAGAAAGTAGGGACTCTATAATATAGTCTGGCCACAAGATGTCAAATATTTGATTAGCCGTTGTTTTATAACTTCGATAAATTAGGAAACAGAGTTTTGCATAACGCATGACGCATGAAAAATGAACTAATCAGATTCCTGCGTTTCCTTCCTTTACAATACAATAAACTCCGATTGGTTGATTTTCTCATGCGTTATGTAAAAGTCCGTACTCCGGCTTTTGGAATAAGATAATATAAATTAGAATGAACATATATGTATACATATAAAATGAGACAGTATAATACTCTTCATTCCCATTCTCGTTTTGACAAAAATTACTCTTGGCCAGACTCGTTATAGAGGCTACGTTCGATTTGCTCGCTCATGCTTTAATCATCATTCTTCTTTTATCTTCTATTTATTCATTAAATATAAAATAAGAGATCTGTTTTTATTCCTGCACTTTCTGAACCGGTGCAGATTAGTTGGAGTGAAACAAACGTATTATTTGTTTCACTTCAACTCGTTGTGCCGGTCCAGAGAGTGCAAGAATAAAAAACAAACTTACCCAAGAAGAATAAATCGTTATGATATCAAAATGATGTCGAAATCGACTCCAAAAAATGATCATTAAAAGTTACCACTCAATCATTTCCAATTCATTTTAATATTATTTCGACGTTATCGTGATACTCGTTTTGCTCGTGTAAGCAGGACAGACGCGCTGAAAGCACTGGAAGCGTCCAAATCGTACGTACATATAGCCAGGATCTCTAGTAGAAAGTGCAGGAGAGCGCCGCTCGAAAGACGAATGGACCTAATGATCGCGCGTCATACGCGATCGCGGCACGCTCGCTTGCGCGCCGCGCACGGGTGAATGCATTCGTAAGAATGCATTCACGTTCGCGCGGCGGCCGCTCGCCTACCATACCCCGCATGCGTGTTCCTCTCTCCTCCTTTTCTCTTTCCATCTCTCTCTCTCTCTCTCTCCCCCTCCCCCTCCCCCCTCTCTCTCTTTCTTCTGGCCCCTCCCTCCCGCGCGCCTTTCCTCGCTTTATGTAATTGCGCTCCGTCCCGCGGACACCTGTCCGTCTGAGAACGCGTGCGGCGATCGGTCGGAGCGGCGTCAAGTTGGGCCTGAAAGATCACGAGCACGTGATCGAATTCGCCAGAATCCGCGTGGATCGGGGCAGATCGAAAATACGTGTCGCCAGGACCGCGCCTTTTGTATTTTCTTCGGATTTTTTTTGTTTTTTTTTTTTCCGCTTCTTTTCGCCTCCCTTCCGCCCCTCCGGAATCTAGCTGGAGTGTAACGTTGATCTCGTTTTCAATGTGGCTCAATGAGACGCTCTCTTATCGAAGGTGAAGATTGCTGAAACGGTTGTAGGACGCTGTAACGGTTGCGGAGATTAAGACTGGATTAAGATCGTTCTACTTTCTACATATCTTCCTTGCTTGTACATGTCGTTTTCGAAATGTTATCAAAGCCGGCGAGCACCCCGACGTTATCGTCGAGGAGAAAGAAAGAAGGGATCCACCGTCCGTGACGCGTGCAATGTGATACGTGACGCGTGTTGCATGCTGCTGTGCTTCGTAGGGACGAGTCTTAATTACGATATAGTCTAGAGATCATTTTCTGTGCATTTTATTTCGTCGTATGTGATAGAACGTAGCAATACACTTCTGTGTGTGTATGTGTTTTCTATTGACGCTCTCTTCCTTCGGAACGGCAATCTTAAGGCTCCAGTGAATTGCTTTAATTATGAGGTTGAACCTTCGACCGTATATACTTAATGCGAGACGATGTTCATCCATCATTCCATCGTTATGCATTGTCTTGTATATGGTCTTTGTGTAAACGATCGAAGGTTTCAACAACGTATTTTATGTGATAATTCATGCATTTTTCTTCTATATTCTACTTTCAAAGAAAATTCCATGGGGGTTAATTTAGTTTCCCGGTACATGTAGATATTAAGCTTTATTTAATTATGTTTACTTCTCTATATATTCTATTTCTCTGTATTTTAAGGAAAATTTCACAAGAATTATTAATTTATTTTTCCGGCATATGTATTAAATTTTCTTTAGTTATATTTATTTGTCTACATTCCATTATTATGTTTGTTTCTCTATATTCTAAAGAAAATTTTATAGAAACTGTTAATTTAATTTTCTAGCATATGTATTAAGTTTTATTTATATTTATGTTTATATTTTCAGCTATATTTATAAGCTGTGTTTAGCTTTTTTTGGAGTTCCTTCCCCGATTGATGGAATTTGTATTCAACTCTTCTTAAGATATTAACGGCAATTTTGCTTAGATTTATTAAGTTACATTTAATTACGGTTTGTGATGTCTAATTAATAAA